TCACAGCCTGGCTCCACTTACTGTGAGAACTTGCGCAAGCTGCCTAACTAAACTAGGCCTCAGTTTTCTCATCTGTAAAGTGGGGATGATAAAATAGTACTTACTTCTTAGGATCAGGCAGTGGAAGGATTAAATGAGACAAAATAAATTGCTTAGGATAGCATCTGCATGTAGTGGGCACTCAGTAGATGTTAGTCGTTACTAACAAGCAAACAAGGCTCTCTGAGCTGGTGTCTGCCTGCCTGCCTGCCTGGGCTCACTGCTTGGCTGTTTCACGTCCACATCATGTTTCACCAACACCGAATGGCTTGAGGTTCCCAAAGCTCACCGTGTATATTTGTTTCACTCTATTTCAGATCACACACACAGACACACACACACACGTCAATCCAACCATTAATACTCAGTCCAGCTGTCACCTCCTCCAGGAGCCTGCCCTGCTTGCCCAGCCCTGTCCTATTAGATACCTGTCTCCTCTGTCTCCCTTGATCATTGCACTCACTTCATTGTGCATAATTATCTGTGAGCTTCTTGTCGAAAGGAAATGTGTCTTATCGTGGCACCAAATAGACTTTCAATAAGTCTTTGCTAAATAAATGCATGTGTGCATGAATGAATGAAGACTCTTACAGAAGAATGACTGGGAAGCATTTGTCTATCACAGTTGTTTTAATGTCTTTTTTTTTTTCTGGGAAAGATTTGCCTTGAGCTAATATCTGTTGCCAATCTTCCTCTCTTTTTTTTCTTTTTTCCTTCCCAAAGCCACAGTACATAGTTGTATATTCTAGTTGTAGGTCCTTCTAGTTCTTCTATGTGAGCCACCACCACAGCATGGCTACTGACAGATGAGTGGTGTCGTTCTGTGCCTGGGAACTGAACCTGGGCCGCCAAAGCAGAGCATGCTGAACTTTAACCACTAGGCCATCATGGCTGGCTCAATGTCTATCAGACATTTTGATGAGGAATTACTGTTTCCATAAAAATGAGCACAAGGTTTAAAATGATACCACTTTTCCTTGTTCCGTTTTTTCTAAGTTTATTTTAGAAAATATGTTAATACTTCCTTGGAGAAGGTCAGATGCAATCCTGTCTTATATTTTTAGCTCCTCTAATTGCCTTGAATAATGACAATATGATGGTGCCAAATGTTATGAAACACTTTATCCCCCCTGCCCCCCATGTAGGCTTAGTCACTACCAGGCACTTTTTTAAAAGAATGAAATTTAAATATGCTATATATTAAGTTATTTAAAAATAGCATCTACCACTAGGCAAAACCCTATAATTAAGCTACCAAAAAATAGTATTTTAGTTCTAAAAAGCATTTTAGTTATCAACCTAAATAATTCTTAAAGAGGTGTTTCAGCAAACAGATCTTAACAATGGACCCTCTGTGTGTGCCAATTTGAAAATTGCTGTTAGGTAAAACCTAAGATTCTGTAAAACTGGAATTGGAATAAGATATTACGAATCTTCATTTCTCTTCTGCTAAATCCTCTTTGCTACCCTTATTACTTTGCTCCTCACCCCTAGATTTTTTGCTAAGTCTCTACTCTAAATATTTCTCTTTCCCTATCCCTTTTGCCTCAATGCTGCAGGGCAGGCCCAGGGCCACTCAAGCAGATCGATGCATGAGTTTACTTGATGAAAAACGTGAGGAATAATGAAAGAGCAAAATATAAGATCTCAGCTGAGGTGAAGGTGGAAAGAGAGTAGGGCTCAGAAGACATTGGGTTTGAATCCAGACTCAAATTTTTAACTCTTCTGAGCCTCAATTTTGTCAGCTGTAGAGATGAGCCCAGGAGTCCTTGCTCCTGGAGGTGTTGGAAGCAGTGAATATAGATACGTGAGACCTGGCAGTGGTCTCCGCCAGCTGGGGAGCTCCAACTGATCAGAACTATGGCTTATTCTCCACTGAAGCCTCAGCACCTAACATACGGTACTTATAGACCCTCAAGTATTTGTTGAACAAATGAACATATTATTGACGAATAAATGGTTGATCTCTGTGTTAATCTACTCTTAACTCTCTCTCTTACTCTTCCTTGACTTTTCCAAAAGGAAATACTTTTCCTTAAGTGTTTTTCTTATAGTATTTGTTGGAATCTTAAAGATTTATATCTAAAACATGATTACATAAGGAAAAGAGGCCCTGTTAGCTTTTTGCATTTGAACAAAGCTAGAGAGAAATCTCTCATTCTTTCTTTCTCCCTCCCTGTCTCCAACTATAATACTACTGAGTGTGTGTCCAGGAAAAAAAATAAGGGTTTACTGAAAAGAGGCCATTGGGATAGAGGAACTGAGGGGTTAGCACCTTCCAGGACTGACAAGGTGTAGGGAAAATCCAAGTGCCCACCAGAGGCTGACCCTGTTACCTTGTTGGCATTAGGAAGGTGGAGAGCTCAGAGGACAAGTCCCTGAGAGCAGATGGTATCCAGGGACTCTGGTTACAATGCACCTTAGCAGTATCAAGGCTGGGCGCCATTGTTTCCAGAGTGTTTAGAGGCTGCAAAGCATGTGTAAGTGACATATTTCAATAGAGCAGGGAAGGAAAATCCATGACCAAACTGCCTGGGTTTGGATCCAGCTCTGCCATTTATTAGCTGTAACCTTTAGCAAGTCTCTTAATCTTCTTGTGCCTCAGTTTCCTCACCTTGTAAAGTGGAGGTTATTATAAAACATACCTCATAGAGTTGTTGTCAGGGCCAAAGTGGTTGATAAAAATAAAGTACTTAAGGTGGGAGCAGCCTCCTGAACAGGGCTTCAGGAGGTTATTGTTGGGCCAGAGGTGGCAGGGAGTGGTGGGTTAGGGTTGATGGTGAGCATGCCAGTAGTGATGGTGGGTAAGAATACGTGGATTACCTTAGAGGAAAGCTCTGCACTCTCTAAAGCACATCTTCATATTCCCACCACTGAATCATCTCTACCCACCTCCCAACATACACACACACACCCACACACACCCCCACACGCACACACACGCTCACTCTACAAGTTGGTATGAAGTCAGACTGACTGGCAGCCTCTGAGCACTTCCTCCCTTCTCCAAACACCACCCACCCTAGTCTCTGCCACTGTCTCCTACTGGTCTCAGGTCTTAATCTGCCCCTTCTCTCTTCTTCCCCAAGGAAACACAGCTTGTGGCTCTCCCTGGAATTGGAATCTCAACCCTTTTGACCTTGCTCTACAGTTCTCCCTGATGTCAGGAGAGAAGCTCTGATGCTAGGCCACACCTCTCAGCCACCATCTTTTCTACCCACTAGCTTTAAGTTGCTACTTTCCAAGTATCCCAAAGTTCTTTGCCTCAGATATTTATTCCTGAGGATGAAGATGAGGATGAGGGTGTTTCCTTCCATGGCAAAGTCATTGCAAGCTTGTTAAAAGGAGAACTGGTGCTTTCACTAGGTTGTACTTTTACTGTGCAGTTCACTCTCTCCTGCCTGTGTTTATTCAAAGTTATATAAATCAGTGCCAAATAGAAGCCTCCAGGAAATGCTAGGGATTGGGAAGTTAATTCTTTTCAGGGCTTACTTAATGATTTAACAGGATCCTACTTCTGGATATATCACAGCAAACATACTCAAATGTAACTTATGCCACTTTCAAAATATATTTTTTTTTTGCTGTAAAACTTTGAAAGGCTTTTAAATAATTATCTTGTTGAAAATTTGGGTTATGAGTAAGTAACTTATGATAGGCTGTGATTTCTTGGTAGTTATCACGTATATTCAGAAATTCTTTTATAGTGCAAAAATTTAATCTAGTTCTTTTCAACTGAAATGAAAATTTTATGAATATAAAAACTTGTCAATGAAGCAGGCATTGTTTTGTTTCATGGACTTTAAGCAATTATCTCTTCAATTTTGAAGTCTTCATTTTTACATTTCTAAGTCAATATTTACAAATGTATTTCATTTTAATTTTATTTAACATTTTATTTTGAAATAATTTGAGATTTACAGAAAAGTTGCAAAGAATACAGAATTCCCTTATGCCCTTCATTCAATTTCCCCTAATGTCAACATCTTACTTACTCATAGTACATGTACCAAAACTAAGAAAATAATATGGCTACAACACTATTAACTAAACTAGAGACTTCCAGTTTTTCCTCTAATGTCCTTCCTCTGTTCCAGAAGCCAATCCAGGATACTGCCTTGGATTGCATCCTCCTGACTCCTTGAGCTGTTTCAGTCTGTAACGGTTTCTCAATCTTTCCTTATTTTTACGACCTTGGCACTTTTTTGTTTGTTTGTTTGTTTAAAGATTTTATTTGTCTCCTTTTTCTCCCCAAAGCCCCCCCAGTACATAGTTGTATATTCTTCGTTGTGGGTCCTTCTAGTTGCGGCATGCAGGACACCGCCTCAGCGTGGCCTGACGAGCAATGCCATGCCCGCGCCCAGGATTCGAACCAACGAAACACTGGGCCGCCTGCAGCGGAGCGTGTGAACTTAACCACTCGGCCACAGGGCCAGCCCCATGACCTTGGCATTTTTGAAGAGCATTGGTCAGGTATTTTGCAGAACGTCTCTCAACTTGGGTTTGTCTGATGTCTTCTCATTTTTAAACTGGGGTTATGGATGTCTGGTAAGAATACCATAGAAATGATATGGTATCACTTCTCAGTGCATTAATTTCATTATATTTTACATTAATTAATTGTATTTTTGCTTCATACACTTGCTTGGGCCCCTGAAAACCTGTAGAACCTGGGAAGTATATCTCAGTTACTTTGTGAGTCAGCCCTCTCTGGGTTAAGCGGCTGTACAAACAACTTCTCATAGCTCAGTGGCTTGCACAACAGTTTGAATTGCGCTCACATTCTTTGCTTACTGCTGGTTGGCTATAGCTGTGCCCCACATTTCTTCATTCCAGGACCTTGATTAATGGAGGTGCTCCCAACTGGGACATACTGTTCTCAAGGCAGAGGGAAAAGAATAAGAGAGCTGCCAGAAACACGCCACAGTGTCTCATAAAACTTCTGCTGTAGTGTGGCTTACCTTATTTCCTCTCTCTTGCAGGTTGAGTTCTCTGAGAAACAGACTCTGAGATGGAGATGAGCATGGAGGATGTTCATTAGGGAGTGTTCTTGGGAAGGAGCACTTCTCATGGAAGGGAAGGGAATATCCCCCACTGCCATAGCTTTTACCCCGCAGGCCAAGGACCCGGGTGGTTTTGCCTACAACCAAGTGTGACTATTCCTATTATCTGTGCAGGAACTGTGACAATGACAGCAGATTCACTGTGAAACAAAGATTCCATTTATTAGCTGGCCCCCATTCTAAGAAGGAAGGTCATTATGATGTTTTGGGTCTCCAGGTATCAATGACATACGAAGCTTATATCCCAAAGTCCTAAAAATGTTTGGGTATTCTCCTTTCCCAGCATGTGGTTACCCGAGTAAATGGCCATGGGTCCCTATTGCAGATGGAGGAATCATTATCATGTGTACTTGCTGTGGAGATGGAGGGTCCCTTCCTCTTGGGGACTTGACCTTTCCTTCATTCGGTGGTTTCCACATCCTAGAACTGGCTCAGGTTTGGAAATTGGGTAAGGGAACGTGACTTTTTTTTTTTTTTTTTTAAGATTTTATTTTTTTTTTCCTTTTTCTCCCCAAAGCCCCCTGGTACATAGTTGTATATTCTTTGTCGTGGGTCCTTCTAGTTGTGGCATGTGGGATGCTGCCTCAGCGTGGTTTGATGAGCAGTGCCATGTCCGTGCCCAGGATTCGAACCAACAGAACACTGGGCCACCTGTAGTGGAGCGCGCAAACTTGACCACTCGGCCATGGGGCCAGGCCCGGAACGTGACTTTTTACTGGGGCAACTGCCCTTGGTCTTCTGATTTATTTTGATTGTATTGATGGGGCAGGACCATTTATTTTGCTTGAGGATGCTGTGTTCTATTTATCATCTTCATAATTCTATGTGAGTTAGGTTGGCTGCCACTTCGACTTGGAGCTTTATTATAATTGCTCACACCTGGCTTCTGACAGTCAGGCGCTGTCCCCCCGGCCTCTATTGTTCTGGGCTCTCATCGTTCCCATTGCTATGAGCCCAGTTCTGTATCAGCATCTCTGGCCTCAGTCCTGGTCTACAGAGGACTAAACTTCTTAGTGAAGCTGGTGCCCCTCTCACCAGCACGTTCTTTATCGCCTTGGTAAGTGCTGTGCCTTCCAAGGGGGCCCCTGCAGGACACAGTCTTCTGGTGGGTTTTCTGGTCTTATATATACTTATCCACTCTATCATGCCCACTTTTGGGGGCATTTTAATCCCTACTTTCCACTGTCTGCCAGAGCAATCCAGATATTTCTTCCTTCCTTTAAGGTGGGCCATTGCTTTTCCATGCTTCTAGGAGCCATCCTAGCCATGTGTTCACACCATCTCTGGGGGCCTTGCAGCATGTGAAATTCAGTATCCTGGGAGAGTGGGCCCATACTGATAAACTCTTTTTTATCCAGATTTATGTTCTGCACTGCCCCTTGACCCAGCACCCTTCGCTTCCAGTCCCCTGTGTACTCTTTCATCTCCTGCCAGGACACCTTGGCTGTGTCCTGTAGTTTATTCAGGGTACAGTGCCTTCCTGTCTTCAGCATGCCTAGCACATCCTCAGCAGAATTTTGTTGGGACTTAACCCTAAATATTGGCCTAGTGGCCAGGAGGGGAGGTGAAGGCAGATCCTGAGGGGAAAACAAGTTGTCTTGCAGGGGAGAGGTCTCGGCATCATCTCCAAGGGAGGCGGAGGGGTGCTGTCCTTAATAGGGAGAAGCATGCCACTCCTGCAGGCTCAGAGGGTTCAGAGGGGTCTGGGGATGCAAGATTTTCAAAGGCATCAACCCAGATGTCCCCATCCCATGTGTCAGAGTCCCATTCTTTCCCAACCAGGGCCTTGACCTTGTCATAGGAGACCTGTCTTAGTTAGGAGTTCAATCTTCTTTGAAGCTTGGCGTCTTTTATGACTAAGTCCTAGTCTTGGTCCTGAGCACTCCCTCCTGCTGCCAAGTATGCTACCAAAGAAGCCCTCTGAATTTTATTCTTAGCTTTTTATTGCTGATTAATCACTCTCAGCCTTTAGTTACCCTTTTCCAGAGCATCAACTGAATTTAGCAATAGCCACTCAAAACCAAATCTTTAGAGTTACTATTTCCTCCATATATCTCAGCTACCTGGCATATTGCACTAGCTAATGCATTCCTTTCCATTGGTATTCTAGCCCAGTTCACCACTGGTGTCGCTTTATATTGCACCGTGCCAGAGGCCATCTGTGCTCCACCTACCACCAATGGTGAGGTCGTCCTTGCCAGCTGAGTGGTGGGTGATCGAGCCCCAAATCCCATCTTAGCATCTGCCTTTTTGGACTACCCCTAGCACGAACTGTGACAAGTTGGGTTCTCCGGGGAAAAATTCTGAGATGGATATTAGTGTGCAGGACATGTCTTAGGAAGTATTCTTAGGATCATCACCATAGAAGGAAGGAAAAGGAAGCAGAGTTTGTAGTGATACAGTCCCAACACCAGTCTCAGCTGACCCCACGAGGAGCCCAGGAGCTGGGATGGCCTGTAGATTGTCACCACTTGGGTCAAGGGGGCCAGGCCTTTATACCCCTGCACTGATCGGTCACTGGAGGTAGGCTGCTCCTGGAAGGAAACATGACTTTGGGCAAGGCAGTTTTCTTCAGTGTGGGCAATCCCCAAAGAGGGCTGACAGCTGAGGGATGTTTCTTGGAAGCTCTGCTGGCAGCTGGATGTAATAAATTCTTCATTCCTGGAGGGAGCTCTGGGTGATACATTGCAGCATCCTCCACACTCTCATATTCCTCTAAAACCATGACCACGTCTGCCATTAATGGGGTGGGGGAGAACGTACTTCTCACAGAAAAGCACAGCAAGTCACACAGCAATGTACTTTCCTAGATAAGGGGAGCTACGTGGAGAGCCAGAAGACAACAGAACAATACTTTCAAGTTATAAGAGAAAATGCTTTTGAACTTGGAATATGTACCAGCCAAATTGTCCATTAAATATGAGAGTAGAATAATGCCATTCAGACAGGGAAGGTATATGCTTCACCAGTATAAGAAAGTAAACCAAGAAAGAGGAGGACACGACACGAGATCCCCAATAAGAGAAATGTGAAGGGGTAGATGGTGGGAGGGGAAGCCCCAGGATGGCAGCAGTGCAGTGGCTCCAGAGCAAAAGCACCCCAAATTGGAGCCATTCAGAAGACTCCAGGAGAGGTTTCTTCAAGAAAATGAAATTTATATACAGTAATACCTAATGTGTTGGAAGATATTGAGAGATTTACACAATTTGGGGAGTGTTTAAGGTACAAAAACAACCACAAGGTATTAACTCCAAAAACAAAAGGAAAGAAAGAAAAATCAACATGTTGTAAGAAGCACATCACAGCACAATTCATGGCTCAGTTGTGAATAGCTTTTGTATAGCCACAAAACATTTAGTCTAAAAAGTTTATGATATATCTCTATTGTCTGGATGGGATGCAGGAAGCGTGTGCATATGTGGGTGGATTGAGGAGGGATTAAGGAAAGTTAAGTCCTTCTTTTGCTTGTTGGGAAACAAACAGATAATGCCCCCAAACTGGAACATAAAAAAAGGAGAAACAAAAGCATGCTGTTTGGAGATATGGAGATAAATGCTTAAATAATCAGATGAAAGAGTTGAAAGTGGGGACCTCTGGGAGTAGAAATGCTGCTAGGAAAATGCTGGAGGTGAAGAGCGGTGAACTGCTAATTTTGTAACATGCCGTGTAGGATCTCTTCATTCTTTTCTCCCCAGCTTTATTGAGGTATAATTGACAGACAACATTGTGTAAGTTTAAGGTGTACAATGTATTGATTTGACACACTTATATTTTGCAAAATGATTACCACCATAGCACTAGCTAACACCTCCATTGTGTCACAACTTGATTCTTTAAAATAAATACAGGTATGACTTTTATAAAATAACAACTTATGAGAAAAAATAATTCCAAATTTACAAACTTTTCCAAAGAATAGAAGAAGAGGGAGCAGAACTCTCTAACTCGTTCTATGATGCCAACATAACTTTGACACTGAAACCTAACAAGGACAAAATGAGGAAGGAAAATTACAGATCAGTCTTATTCATAAATATGGATGCAAAAGTCACAAATGATGTTAAAAACTATGAGCAATCCAAATTCAGTAATGTAAGACTATAAAATATGCCAACCAAGTTAGGCCTATCCCAGGAAGCCAAGATTAGTTTAATGTTAGAATTGAATGTAATGCACTACATTCAACATAAAAATCATATGACTATCTCAGTAAGTAAAACCATTTGATAAAATGCAACTTCATTTAGCATAAAAAGTCTTATCAAGGTAGGAGTAAAGAAGACTTATCTAATCTTAAAAAGGCTAATTACTGGGGCTGGCCCGTGGCCGAGTGGTCAAGTTCGCGCGCTCCGCTGCAGGCGGCCCAGTGTTTCGTTGGTTCGAATCCTGGGCGCGGACATGGCACTGCTCATCAGACCACGCTGAGGCAGCGTCCCACATGCCACAACTAGAAGAACCCACAACGAAGAATACACAACTATGTACTGGGGGGGCTTTGGGGAAAAAAAGGAAAAAATAAAATCTTACTAAAAAGGCTAATTACTAAAAAACCTATAGCAAATATCATGTTTCAACGGTGGAATACGGAAATCTTTCCCCCTGAAATAGGGAAAAAGGTGAGGATGTCTGTTTTTACCACCCCTGGTCAATAGTGTAATGAAAGGCCTAGTCAATATAGTAAGAAAAGAGAAAATAAAGTAAATACAAGGATTGGAAAAGAGGAAACAAATATTACATAATTATAATGGGAGAAAATCTCTAAGAATTTTTAAAATTAATTTGAGAGTTTAGCCAGGTTGTGGGACACAAGGTCAAAATACCAAGACAAATAGATTTTCTATACCAACAACAATTAAAAACTAAAAATTTAAGAATGTATCATTTATAATAGGTCTCTTCAAAAATGTTAATGTCATAGGAAACATGGTGAATCATGGGAAGACTGTTCAAGAATAAAAATCACCAAAGAAACAAAACAGCCAAATGCACAAATGCAATATGTGAATCTTGATAGGGTCCTGATTAAAAAATACGCCAAAAAACTAAAAAAGATATTTTAGTATAATTAATTATTAGCATAATTCGGTAATTTGAATACATACAGGTGTAATCATGTTTTTTGGTTAATATTGTAGGAGAATGTCTCTCTTTCAAGGTGCATGCTTTAATATTTAAGGGTAAAATTTCATGATATCTGCAACTACTTTAAAATAATTTTATTTAAAAAATCTATATAGATAACAAGATGATGGTAAAATGTTAATAACTGTTGAATCTAGATAATGGGCATACAGATGTTAATTGTACTATTTTTTCATCTTTAAAATATGTTTGAAAATGTTCATAATGCAGAGCTGAAAGAAATATCAAGTTCCAATATATCTAAAAAAAAAATTTTCAAAGCCTTTATGGGAGAAGTTATAAAACTACTGAGAGATGTTTAAAAAA